TTAGGGGTTTGGGGTTTAGGTTTTTGCATGCGTGGCCTTTCCGGCTTCCGCTGTCGTATGCTGGTCCCTGCAGGCCGTGGACTACGAGGTATGGAACAAGGCGCGGAGTGTTCTTCACCCCTGAAAAATCCCCAGGCCGGGAGCTCCAACAGCATGAACCAACTGAACCAACAGGGTTTAGGGTTTAAACTTAGGGTTTACGGTTTAGGGAGCCCGAAGACGTTGTTGCAAGATTGCCCCAGTGTGCGACGGGGCAATAAGCACGTTGCCGGAATCGGGGCCTTTGATTTCAAGACTTGGCCCAACTCCAACCCTCAACCCAAAACCCAAAACCCTAAACCCTCAACCCTAAAACCCTAAAGACGAGACCTTTGAGATCCCGGAGCCCGGAACCACGAAGCCCTAATCCATAAATCCTGACCCCTTAGCCCGAAATCCCTTGGGGCCCTTCCAGTACCCTTAATTCTTACTTAAAAAATTACCTAATAGAACCCCGGAGGAATTCTAGAAGCCCCCAGAGGCTCTGAATACACTCCAACTTCCCTAAATCCGAAACCCCCTAAACCCCAAACCCTAAACACCGAAACCCTCAATGAGGCTCTCCTCAGATGCTGTGGAAACGAGGCCCTCAGCAAACAACACAGACCTAAACCCCAAGGAACCCTAAACCCTAAACCATAAACCCTAAACCTACCAACCTCTAAACCCTAAACCCTAGACATCCTAACTTACCCCTACTTAAGGCGGCCCAGGACTGGACGCGCCAGGCCCGGTTTCATCGAAGCAGCAAGCCGGGAGAGTTGATTCAGGGGCCGGCAGGCCGGGATCTGATTGGTCTAGGGTTCCATTTTTTGTCTGATAGGTTTAGGTTTTCATTTTTTTGGGGGCTTCTGATAGGTTTAGGGTTTCATTTTTGTGGATGCTTCTGATAGGTTTAGGGTTTAAGGATTTTGACTGGCTGATTGCTTTAGTTTTTTTTATAACTTGGGGGCTTCTGATAGGTTTAGGGTTTAAGTTGTTTGTGGTTCTGATTGTTTTGGGGTTTAAGTTTTCTTGGGGTTCCGATTGTTGTGGGGTTTATGTTTCCCGGATTTAGGGTTTCTTTTTTTGGGTTCGGATAGTTTTAGGGTTTGAGTTTTCGGGGTCCGGGGTTCTGATTGCTTTGGGCGTTAACGGTTTTCGGGCTCGGACAGGTTTAGGATTTGAGGTCTTTGCGGGTTCTGACGGATTTAGGCCTTGTCTGATGTCCTGGCCTCAATACCGTATCTATTATCAGAGGCCCCTGATAGGAATCAGCGTACCGTGAGACAATGAGAAGCGGGAGAAAAGCAAAATGCAGTGCCATGCGCAACAGAATAGAGCAGAACGTGGCAAATCACTCGGGGTGGTAACGACAGCGAAGTATCGGAATCCAGAAGGGATTCTGGGGCTTACCGTGGCGAGCTTCTGCTGGGAGCTACCTCCCCAAGCTGGCAGCCATGGAGCTAACTAATCCGAAGCTTAAAGGGTTCCCACATCGTGTAATGCCTTCAAGAGTCGATAATCTCGTGCCTTTATTGAACTCGGGTGTGGCTTTTTGTACCATGCACCCCCCACTTCTCCATTGTCGATCTTGGCCGCCCCATTAGTTTGAACCTGAAAGCCTGAATAATCTCCACTATTGTTACCCAGGGTTCGTTGCTTCTACAGGCATGCTTAACATCACCAAAAATCACTGTTCTAATTTTCAGGCCCCTAAACCCCACACCCTGAATCCCAAACCCTAAACCCGAAACTCACTCACTCACTCGCGTAATGGTATGTCCAGAGCGTCTAAAAGCGGGCACCCCAAAAATGACAGCCGCTATAAACCCTAAATCCAAAATCACAAAAACCCTTGTTCTAATTCTTAAGGCCCCGATCGTACACAGCGTCTTCCTGCTTGCGAAGGTCAGGTCATAACTCTCTTCTCTGAGCGTGCGGCCGAGGTCTCTTTTAAGGGTTCCTCCAAGCGTTCCCCTTAACGGCTACTGTTATGGGTTTAAAGGCTTTCGGGTTCGAGGTTGTTTAGGTTCAGGGGTTACTATATGTGTTGCAGCGTCGGAAATGCTGACTGCAGCAGCACTTTAGGGTTTGGGAGTTTCGAGGTTGTTGAGGGTTTATGGCTTGACATGCGGTGAGGGGTTTTTATGTGTTGGGAGTTGAAGAGTCCAGCATTTATTGTGGAACAGCCTTCCGTGACTTCTGGAATCAAGCATTTGAGGACTTCAGGGTGCCAGTATGAAATCTGTTCGGGGCATTCTCCCGGGATGTCATGCGTAGGGCACAGAATTGCCTTTGTTGTGCTCAGCAGGCTTCACTCAGCTATCCAGTAGGTTCAGATTCCACCGAGGCTCACGCAACCCGAGATGCGAAACCCTAAGCTTGAACCCTGATCCTGAACCCGACGCTTTGGGCGCTTGGGAAGCCCCTAAGAACCCCGAAGCCCTCAGACTGCGAGGCACAGCTGCACCTCGAAGACTGCTTGCATGAGAAGGAGGTGCCAGGGATTCCCGTAAGTTTCGAGCTATTAAACGTGCTTTACTACATTCGGGTAGCACAATACGTCAGGATGTGAATGCGAATCTCGGACTCTATGCTCTCTTTTCATGCAAGGAGATCTAGTGAATCTAGTGTGAACCCTCACCCATCTTTGCAGCAGAAGATCTACAATGGGCAGCCGGAGCCTGTCAGAATGACCTTTATGGACGGGAGTTCGGGCGTGCTCCCATTTTAGGAACTCATGGAAGCCCTTACCCAAAACCATTGAACCATTCAACCCTAAACCCAAACCCTCAAACCCCTAAACCTGAAGCTCTCGCGCCTTGATGCAAGGAGCTCACGCGGCGCCGCCAGGCCGTCGCCGCTGCAGCTCTGGCCCAGCAGCGGGCTCCTGGACTGCAACGCCTGGATTTGACGATTTTTGAGGCTGTAGTTTGGGGTTTCAGCTTAGACCCACTAGGTCCCTAGGTGTAGGGCTTGCACTACTACTACTACTACTAC